GCAACGTCAACTTCTTTCTGAATTGATTCAATATTTTTTCCGTTGATCATGTACGTAGAGCTATCAACTAACGCCATAATACCATTATTAACAAAACCAACACTATCATCGGCGTTATATTTAGTATTATCTGCTTTTAATATTTCACCCTCTACTTCAATAAATGCTTCTGCGGGTAAGAAATATCGGCTTGTATCATGAACCTGAAGTTCAATTCTTCCATGCTGATCTGGAATTCGTGCGTCATAAGAATAATACTGATAATCACGTACAGACTCATCTTTGAGAACTGGTGCGTCCATGTCGAATGCAGGATACGTTTGAACATATTTAGTATAATTATTATCGTCTAAAACGAAGACCACTTCGAGAAGTGGGACCACAACTTGCTATGAGACTGCTGGTTATATTTTTTTCTTTTTCTGATAAAGGTTCATCGGCCAACTCTGCTAGTTTTTTTTTATTAGCGACCTGATTTAATTTTTATTAATATTTTCAGGCATTACTTCAGTGCTAGGTAATTTCACCGGCTGAATTCGGACCGCTTGAGGTCTCCGTATTAATCGTGCTAGTCTATCTTTGAATGCTGAGAATGCTTTACTAGCAACATTACCAACAGCGCCTATACCTTTTTCACGAACGACATCAATAGCTTTAATACCAAGTAGCTTTGCAATTGGTATTGCTTTTGGGGCTATCCTTCTAAATAGACCCTGAACAACCTAACCTAATCCATCTCCGTAGGTTGTTTTGTATACCGGTAATCGAGAATTTATCACCCTGACCATAGTTGATCCACGTTGAGTACTATGTACTATCATTTTATTATAATCATTATATTTAATTACATTCTTAGTCGCTATAATGATCATTGGATATTTTCATTAATGAGACACTGATACACGTTAATATCCATGATACCGCCTGTAAATAATCTGCTGCTTCAATAATGATTTCTGGCTAATTATTACCAGCTCGTTTTCCTCCAATCCGATTTTCTAGTCGTTCAACATCAGCAAGTACGTTGTTAGGACACTGAGGAATAGGACCACTTCCTTGAGTAGTAAGGCCACTTCCAGAAAAGACGTATGATAACCAATCTTCTTCCTCCACACTTTTTGCTTGTGGTGGTTGTTGTGTTTGTGGTGGTGATGATGATAATGGTGGTGGTAGTTCCCATGTTGTTTGAGGATCTAACTGTAAATCCGACATTGTTTCAGGAACTGGCTGTGTTCTTTTTGTTTGTTTTGGTCTTGTTGCTTCTTTTCGTTGTTGTTTTATCAATTGCCGTTGTTGTTCTGGCAGTAACTGTATAAACGAAAATATATCCATGAATTTACTCAATATATCTTGGATCGTTGTTTCGAGCTTTATCAACATCATAGTATATGCGAAACATCCATTTGTACCAATTATCGCGATTTATAATATCATCAGCATATTCAGGTTTTAAAATTTGTTGTCGATTATCATATCCTTTCACAGCACTCGAAGCTAATCGTTTTACACTTTTGATCTGTTTCATAGCATTATTGACATTTTCTGTAAATTTATCAGATATATTAACCCTGCCTCGCACTTGTCCTGGTATTTTATTGAGTATCACCTTCTGCCTGGTCTGCATCCTCATGTTTTTCAGGGACATCAGCTATTTTGGCAGGAACTTCTTTAAGAATCTTTTTTTTCTTAGTTCTTTTTGCTATTTTTCCAGTTACCTCAGCGGTTTTCTATAACACAGGTTGATTACTTTTAGTGGTCTCAGTGACAGGTTTAAATAATTTTTGTGTGCTCTCTTCAAATTCAACTTGAGATTCCTGACGTGATTGTAATTGTTGCTTAACAGAATCACGAACATGTAGATATTTTTTTAATTGCCTCTGGTCGCTCTCGAGCTCATTTAGCTGAGTGTGGTTCTACAATATTCATTAATAATAATATTTATAATAGATGTTTAATTCATAGCAGCAGGAACGGTGAAGGACAACAATTGAGTCGCTTTGCAGGTAAACGAAATCTTTAAAATAATACGTCAATAATAGGATAACAAAACTGGGCTAACCTCATGACTTTATTATGCTGTTTATTACGGGTTCTTAACTGTATGGAACTATACTCGGTTAGAGACTTTGGTTTAGCGTTATTGACCTTTTTTTCAGCCAGTTGCAGGAACCTTTTTTTGGTACAGGACTCGAAGAAAAAGTTGCAGGGTTCACCGTCCCTGCTGCTCTTTAAGTTTATAACATGTTGGTCATCCGAGGATGGCGCAGTTGCAAACAGCCGATTCCACTTTAACCATTGCATAACAGTTTAGTCGTAACGGATCCATTCATACCAATAATAAACGCTTGAATAGTTTGAAAATACATTGCCTTGTTTGGGTGGAGAGAGCTTCGCCGACACAAAGAAAATGTTCTCTTGCGCATTAAACATCAAACAATATCCGTGCATGTCAAAAGCCGTTGTGGATCTCATCCATGACTTGAACGCGATTAATCTTACGTTCCGAGAAGGAACTACCTGGTATAAACAGTCAGAGGAGGCATGAAGGTGAAAGTCACTATTGCATTTGGAGGTATAATAAATGTGGCCTTTATCCGCTTTATTCTACAGTCCCCACGGTTATGCAGCCTTTGGAAAGTTAACTAGTATAGCAACAGTTACCCATAACTTCGCCAGAGCATGGCTGGCCAAATAAGCATTTTCAACAGATTTATTTCATACAAGAAAGATTTCATGTACATTGCTTGATGATTCTAAGTACAAATTATAACTTGTTTCTCCCACGTAATAAAGTGCAGGCACACCATGGAGGTGGTAGTGGAAGCGGTCGTGAAAGACAAAGTCAGGTACGTACATCGATGCAATGAAGAAAAGCTACTAACGTTTAAAAGTTACACAAATAAGATGCATTCATTGGCATCAATGCACGTGGGCCGCTAACATAGCCAGGGCTTCTGCAAAGAATTTAAGAAATCTATTGCCGTGCTATTAAGGAAACATCATGAGCGAGTTTGTCGTAAAAATACCTGTGTTCATCGCAATCAGGCCATTCTAGAACGATATAATATGTAATATGTACACTTTCCGAACGACTAATCAGGCACCAGTATATGCAAGAATATCTGATTATCGGTCTAGTGGAGGGGTAATCCGGTTTCCGTCAGTCATAGCAGTGCTGAACATTTAAGTTATACGCACGACCTTGTTAAGACCCGCTGATGATGTTTGGCAAAAAGCATTTGTCTCCAATGGCGAAGCAGACCGCTTTTGGCCTCCTTCGTTGGATTTAATAAAAAAAAAAAAAAAAAAAAAAAAACAATCTAGAAAGCGGACAACGATGTGCTATTAATCCATTTTGGTTGCTTGACATTTATGATCTCCGACAGAATTGAAATCCCTGTGGATTATGCGTTATCTTTTGATGTCGTATGGGATATGTGCAAGAAGAATTACAAGTTATTCTCGCGAATACAGAATACCCGCCAAGCTCTATTTTGGCATCTGTGCATGCCCGCATAAGTGGCAATTGTATCAGGGAAAAGAAAATCTGGTTAACTTAATATTGTGTGTGTATGTGGTTGAAAAGTTACAACATTGTCAAATCTGAAATGTCTCATTTAAGTGTAACGCTTTGATCAATTAGACCGTTGATTGCTATTGCATGGGAGAAAATAACTACAGTGCAAAAGTGACAGCGTTTGGTTAGAAATACATAATGCGCCCCTATTTTTTAGTGACAATGTAAAATCGAAACCACATTATTAATTCGCACGTCCACCAATTCGTTTTTACATCGGAGGTAACCATTTCTGCTGTTTAAGACCTTAAGATAAGAAATATTAATTTCTCTTTGAGAAATAAGGCACGCAATCTCTTCATTTGTTAAATGAAAATGTCCCAAACAACACAAGCCAAACTTATGATCGTTGCTGAAGGCAAAGCCTTGATCGATAAAGTAGTAAGTTTCTAGCCAGATGCGATCATGACGTTTTCAGGCGAAAGGCGATATCACACGGATTTCAGATGCTCCTTACTGGATTGAACCGTAACGGTCAGTATATGGATTTCGTTGACAAGTTCATGTTAGTTATTTTAGCTGCATGCAATTAACTGAGTATCAATTCGAGTCTTTTTCGACTCAACTTCACAAATCAACGAAATTTATAACGTTTCATTTTATTCAAGATTTTTTTTCTCTAATTGAACCCACCTCTACCCACACTCTACATCCATAGATACCAAGCTGTGCATTATGATGCGCAATGTCTTAAGGTTACCGCCTATAATACTTAGCTTTCATGCATCTCCCTATGTATATTATGTTATCAAATTGTGAAGACAAGTGAATTCGGTCATATATTATGTAAAGAGTGACGTTACAATTATTCGTGTATACTGTTCATTATTACTGATCAAACTATTATACGTACCTAATGAATAATTTCACTTAAAACATGCCATTCTTTTGTTATCCTAACTTGAAGATTCTAATGATAATGCACCGTTAGCAAACTGTATGTTTAATCTGTTAGGTCGTATGAATCATGGTGAGTTTACCATCTTTATCACTCATAAAACATTTAGTTTTCAGGGTTGAAAAGTGAATGTACTTTAGCTAGACGAGATCTGTCTGCAGTGAGTTCAGATCAAAGACAATTGTTGATAGAGTTTTTGTATGGTTAGTGCATCTGAATTAAGCAACGTAATATTTTTTCTGTAATTGAAAAGTGCTTTAATGGAGACGATACCTGGGTTATGAACAATTTCAACCTAGTAGCAAACATGAAAATGTATAGCAATCTAAACGATAAATATAAATCAACAAAATATTGAACAATTATTGGGCTGGCTTGTGACTAAGCGGGGCCCTGGGTGGCCGAGTTGTCTAAAGTCTCACCTTACCGATCACTGTCATATTTAATCATTAATATACAATAAATAGTAAGCATTCTGTTTCTTCTTTTTTTCACAATTCTTGTAATTTTTCATTTCTGTACGTTTGACCGCTCACGTGGTCTAAGTGGTTAGAACGTCCGCCTCAGATGCGAGAAGTAGCGGGTTCGAACCCCGACCGAGTCATAACAAAGATTTACAAATTGGTAGTAGCAGCTGCCCCACTTGGCGCTCATCATTAAGAGGTTAAAGTTAAGACTGGTCAGCTTGGTGTCAGGATAATGTGACTGGGTGTGACATGATGCTACATGTCTGCGGTTTTTGGTCCTTACTGGGATTTTACCTCGGGACCTTCCTTCGCCAGTTATATTGGCCGCCATATATAACCTATCATGTGCTGAGAAATGGCGTTAAATCCAAAACAACAACATATGGCTCGGAAAATTTACATTGAGCCAATTATGCATTTACAAACAGTCGGATTCAAGCACTTGTGTCGTGAATTAGTATGAAAATTATCTTGCTTTCGTTCCCTGTATAAGTAACCCCTAGAGTAAACTGCCGAATATTAAGTTCACATGGTCAATTGTGGAACTATACCACTAGGATAAAGTAAATGGAATATTTCACATTTTAAAAAGTTTATTATTGTTTCATTCACAATCGTGATATAAATTAATATGTTCCTCTTCCGCATGTTTAATATTTTTGTAAACATAATTTAACCAGTTACATTCGAAACTGCAGATCTATTAGCTAGTTCATTTATATTTCCCTCATGTTTGATGATGTGTGCTAATTTGTTTAACTGCGAGGATGCCGAACTTCCTGACGGAAATAGCTAGTTTGATTAAAATATCAGTTCAACTGTCACTTCAGTTGTTGAACATATCAAGTTAATGAGAAGATAAACTGCCGCAGGAAGAAGATGGAGTTTCAGCTATGCAGTAACTTTATGGTTCGGACGCTTATTGTCTGGCCGTGTCCCGCCTACCAGCATTGGTCTTCTTTAGGGTAGTTGCTAACTGTGAGGTTCTATTAAAATTTCAAAGCTATTCATAGTAAACTATAACTCGGCATTTAAGTTACCTACATCACAGAAAAAATGGTGTCATTCATCATACAAGAAAGGGAATACTAAATAATTCAAAGACATTAATACATTGAAAGAAATACAATTTAGGACAAAAGCATATTGAACATATTCAGCCTAAATGAGAGGGAAATGAACTTTGAGGTGCAGGGGTAGAACAAGTTCTAGGCATCCTGTTAATATCCTCTAGTGTACGTGTTGGACGAACGTGACGTGAATAGTTGGGAGTTCCGATTGGAGGTTGAGGCGAATACGTCGCTACCTTCGGTATTGAACATTTTTTTCCAGAATCTGCTTCTTGTAGTTTTAAATCTTTCTGCTTGATTTTTGGAAGATTTATTGGATCTCGTTTGATTGGGGTTAAAGACTGCGACAAACAGTTGGGTTCCACTTTATTAACTATCTTGGGAAATTCTTTTTTTCTGTTACAAGAACCCATGTCATTTTCTTTTCTATTGACATCAATCAGTACGTGTTCAATCTTTTGGAGGGCTTCAGTCTGCACAGTATACCAAGAAAGCTGAGTGGTGAGTTTATTTTTTCTCTCCCTGAGAGTTTGCTCTTGCTTCCAGAGCTCATCAAATTTTCGAATGTACTTCCGATCTATTTTCCTATCAAGTTCACTTTGTATCAGCAGGCACCTCTCCCGCTCCAGTTTTCGTTTCTCCTGCGCCAAATCCTCATCCAAGCGTGATTCCATAGCGCACGTGATCTCGCTGTTGCTAGCACGTGACCGCCAGTACTTACTCTCCAACTCGTAAGCGTCTTTTTCCTTCAGTAATCTCTGAGTTTCTTCCAGCATCTTTTTACTTTGTTCACTATTTTGTTTCAGAAGAGTCTCCATGTGACTGAGATGCCTGTGGATAAATAAAGATAATTCAGAACGATTCATATGAAGTAGATTAATGGTACATACTGGATAATAAATACGTGAGTGTCAAATGATCGAGTACCGCCTGATCATTGCTGTTATTTTAGCAAGATTCTTAATCTCTTTAGACCCCGCTGTGTCAACTACAGCTGGAAGCCAGCATCAGCTAGAAGATAAATCTGTGACATAGTGACACTAGGTACAGAGGAGGGTCGTGATCTCTTTAGTGACACTAGGTACAGAGGAGGGTCGTGATCTCTTATTCCCTTTCGCCCATGGACCGTAAGCACGGGTTTAACAGACAATTAGTTGGCTTAGGAAGCCTTTCATGATCTGGACCTATCTTTTAATTTTTGTTTAAATCATAAAATGATTTAAAAAAAGCAAATGACCAAAAAGAGTCAGTGCCGGATTAAACCTTGTGGAGACGCCTACGCAGTCGACCCCACCCCACCCACCCACAATTAATTCCTAATACCTTTTCAGTTTTACCAACAGTAAAAGGCGTGGGACCCATAGGCCAGTGCCTTCTTTGCCTTTTTGGTAATCCGGCACTGAAAATAGTATACATAATGTGCTTTCAGAGTTTTCCATTAAATGTTTACGAGATGACGAAGTAAATGTAGTAATGATTAAGGTGAATTACACCTTAGTATTCGCTTTAAAGAGGAACCGTTTCCAATTTGAGGATTTTATCCCAAATATTCAATATAGTTTCAGTCAAAAAGTTAGATTTTTTAAAAACTATGTATTGAGACGTATTTCCCCACATGATTTAGCAAGAATAATACAGTCCTGTCAGTTATTGTCTCGCGTACATGTTGCAAGGAATTGCATGAGATTTCATGTTCACTTTCTACTTCATTTTTCTATCAATTTGTGATTTGTGATTCTTTCTCTTCAGTTGAACAATACTTTATTAATTTCCGAATGTATTCATGCTTAAACATATGTTCAAACATGACGCAATAGAAAGAAGGAAACAAATCATAATATCGGAGAAAAAAAATAATCACGAAATACTTACTTTTCGTTCTGTTCGTACGTCTGGTCCAGTGTCTTTATATAATCTTGCTGCTGTCGTAACTTGACGACAGTCTCACGAAACAAGGAATACGTGTCCTCCTGTTTATCTACAGGCGTATCTGAACAAAAAATAAGCGTGCAAATTAATCAAATAGTTTAGTCTATGTTTTTATTTTAAATATTTTTTGACAAGTTAATAATTTATAAAAAGGCACATTTTGAGTGCACATAGCTATATCATAATTGGAAAATACATAACAGAGAAGAGTATGTTTTTTAATATTAATGAAAATCTTCCGTCCGTCATTTTATTTTTTTATTTTTTTGTTAAAACAAAGTCTAAGTTAAACATTTTGCACTACACCTTTGCAGTAAATGTTGCGTTGCATTTCTATATACTCTGCGACGTCTATGATGCTACGATTTCGTTTTAGTAACAACTTTACGAAGCATGAAAATCACCAATTGTGGTAGATGTACATTACAACTTGTAATCTCAGTAAATCGTAATCTTATTTGTGTTTGATTTTAATTAATTTACTTCTAACCCTGAATTAGAGTGTCAGTTCTGATATTCTTGTCATCATGAAAATAAATGTTTATTGTATATTATTGTATATTGTAGTATTTTGCTTCTTCTGGAACACACACACACACACACACACACATACATACATACATATATATATATATATATATATATATATATATATATATATATATATATATATATATATATATATATATATATATATATACACACACACACACACACAAAACCCCATCAATATGCATGCGTCCGAAGCATAACTTCATAACTTTCCATCTTACTTTCTATTCAACAGAAGTAATTAGTTATTATTTTCTTCCCTACCCACTTGCATTATATAACGTCTTTCTGTTGTCGCTTCATTTTCGTTTAATTGCTCTACCCACCAGAGGAAAACGAAGAGAAACCTTTATATTTCTCTTGCTTTTATCACGATGCTATTTTAACATATTTTGCAATAAAATGTCTACAACTAAACACTCTTTTGAGAGAGAGAGAGAGAGAGAGAGAGAGAGAGAGAGAGAGAGAGAGAGAGAGAGAGAGAGAGAGAGAGAGAGAGAGAAAGAGAGTTACCTTTTACTCCTTTACTAGTGGATGATATCTCAGTCTCTTTGTTCATCTTTGCCTTCGCCATTTTAATTTTACGCCCTTCTCTACAAAAAATGATATGAATGCATGTTGTCATTTCAAGATCGCCTTCAATACGTAATTCATAAAAATGACAAGTTCACTCATTTCAAGCTCATTATAAGAGAAGGAAGCATTCAAATTTATACTCGCAATCAAATATTTGCATCTTGCGTAAGAAAATATAGCTTTCGATGTTCTACAAAATACTAAGTTTACCTTTTCAGTTTATTTTTTTCCGTGATCAAAGCACTTCTAATTCCATGCGTTAGATCTGCCCACAGTAGATACTGTACGTTGAATTTAACACGTCATTGTCGTTTCGACGTCATGTTATTGTTGGCAAAGTAAGCTCACGTGACGTAATGTGTAACTTTCTGTTTGATATTAATCTTATACGAAATTGCCTTGTATTAAGTTGCTGAATCAAGGATGATAGGTTAATAATCATGCAAGGATTGGTTGCAACCGTTTCACTACACAATGGAATATTTCCAAAAATTTTCGGAATTATTTCGGAGGAAAATGGCACAATGCACTAGCAAAAGTGATTAATTATTTTCACTGCTGTCACTTGGGAACAAAAAGGATTTAAAATGTAGGATTTTATTTTCTACGCTTATCTGAAACGTGCAATAATTTGATTTTACATCTGGAGCCATTCGATATATTTCTGTATATGAATGTGGTTATAATTATGTTACGATAATCCATCTTTAGCCCTGAGCTTCACAAAAATTCACAATATAAAACTAACACTCTAATATCCGCGAGGTCTTATTTTGGAGTTAAAAGTATAATCGCATGGCAGGCTCATATTGTGTCAAAACATATTATTATACATAAAAGTTAGCATTATCTATATGTATTTGATATCATAATTTATGTTATGAAAAATTTGTTATCATAACCTTCTTCTCATTCATTGTTATGAGAAGTAAATACTATTAACTTTAAGAGATGTCTTTGCGATTATATACAGTGAGAAGAACGTTCGGGCTCTCTTAAAGATGAAGATGT